TCTCTCTCTCTCTCTCTCTTGTTTTAATTATTTTCAATTGATATGTAATTATAAATAGATATCAAATGTGATTGAGAGGATTGGTTGCCGTAAAATAGGGTTTTCTTGTGGAAAATTATTCATTATAACCCGATTGAGTGGCATTGAAGTAAGTGTATAATCATATGAATTAAATATAGATCAATATATATTTTTATGATATTATTTATTTATCAATCTTCAGATAATATATACAATAGCATCGTTGTGTTTGAACACTTGGCGCAGGGAAAATCATCATAAATAATTAGAGAATTATTGTACATTCAAATTATATTGATTCCAATAAATTAAACAAAATTCCCGCATAATTAAAATTAATTGGTTATAAAACTTGTTCGAAGCACTTTCGAGCACTTTATCCACATATTCCTATACTTATTAATCGTTCACTAATTATCTTTGTTAATTATGATTGTATAATAAACTCGTTGTTTTGCATATAATTGCAATTAATTTCGATGTAGCCTTTATAGAGACGTTTCAAACCATTTAAACCTTTTGTCTAATAAATATTGTGTGTTAATTGTATACTGAAGTGTATTGTATTTTACCTATATACCATTTGGTATTAAACTGTGGTCGACTCGAATCTACAAACAGGAGCAATTGACTCAAACCTTTATTGATTGAGATTTGTAATTTAATTAGTGAGCGAATATGGATTGTTAAATGTACTAATTGCTACCACACTATATTTGTTTTGTTTAGTGCATTTTTTAAACAAGTTAAAAATTATATTAGAATCAATAATTTAGTGCATAAGTAAAGATATATTGATCTGTAAGTTTAGGTTTCAACCAATAATTATTATATTTCATAATTATATTTTTTTAAAGTGATAAATTACCTAAATATTAAAAAACAAATAAATCGTTGGCATAAAAATTATTTATAATTAATTGTTATATAAATAATCTATAGTTTTATTTATAAACCACTTTATTATACATTATATAAAATTTAATCACCTATAACAAAACTTCATTGTTACAACATACTGTATTTACAATTTATTAATATAATTTAAAAAATCACAAAATATAACATGTTTAAATTGTGTACATTTAAACAAATCATTAACTTACAAAATGAACACTAATAGTTATAAAATCCTGATCATAGTTGTGCATCGTATTACTTGCTCATTATTTTCGAAACTAGCACGGTGTGCGACTTGTACTTCGCCTTGGCGTAGGACACTTTCATCCCGGACTTTTCGGCCACTTTCACACTCGTATAGTTCTCTACCCGATTGAATGTGCGGATAGAGAACTATACGGGTGTGAAAGTGGTTTGACGCGTTTGTGGGAAAACTCTCTGACGCCATCTAGGTCTTTGTGCATATTAACCACTTTAGCCCTATGGTCACGGCCAATGTTATTGTTTAATATGTGTGTTTAAAAAACAAATTAATAATTTAAATATTTTTATTTAATTTTTTAAAAATTCATATGATTAAATAAAGTAACTGGCTTAAACAAAACTTGCGCACTGTTTTATGAAGATTGCACCAAGTTTATACAGCTCAGTGGCAAATCAGTGTGTGAAAATGGGCACTCAGTATGTAGTGGAGCGTCGAAATTTGCTATATAATGAAAATGCAATAAAATGTTAAGCGTTTAAATAGTTACACGTTTAATTTTGTTGTCCGGTTAGGGAAGTGACCTCTTTTTGAAAATCCACTGCTCGGATACCAGACATGCAAATGAAGTTGGGATTAACCCAAAATATGCTCAAATGTATGTTTGAGGAATTGTTGAAATTTTTTAGCCCTGACTTATAAAACTGATTTTAGCCAGCTATTTTAAAATCAAATGTCCTGACAGGTTAAATTATAGATTAAAGGTTAAAGATTGTAAGGTTAAATTAAAGATTAAACTACTCCTGGTCAATCAAGTCTCTATTAGAGACTTGGAGTAGAAAAGCCAATTGTCATACACAACATTAACATTATGTTTCAAAGTTTAAATTAAAAAGTATTAATCATTCAACAAAATGAACATATTATATACATTAAAACATTAAGATAAATATAAGGCCCTTACAAATTAATTGCGTGCCGGATTTTGATCACCATTTGGGAACAACTGAAGTGACAATATTGTCACTTCACACATATATAAATCCATGTCCGGAAATTTTTTGTACATAAAAATATTTTTGGTCACGTGACTATATAACTGTGAAAATGGTCCATTCGCGAGACCCATGGTGTACACCTAGGGTGTTTATGAGAGGGAGGGGTGGAAGTTAGGGTTGGATAGAAGAGATGTCAAAGTGTTAAATACACTTGAAACAGCAATCGTCGGATTGCGAATTTTCAAATGGCAGGCTAACAAACTTAGTCAACTTTTACATGTTAACCTATGGGGCTAAAAAAATTTTTATATTTAAATATAATTAATTATATGGTTAAAGACTACATTAAATTCTAATAATGTTAGTCAAAAAAATTTTGGAATATCACATTCCAATAACAAAATATCTTGGATTGAAATATATAGATTTTAAGAGTTTTATGGCTTAAACTCAATAATTTAAATGACGATATTTTATCTTTGGAATGAGATTTTTCAAAATTTTTTTTGACTAACATTATTAGAATTTAATGTAGTATTTAACCATATAATTAATTATATTTAAATATAAAAAAATTTCAGCCCCATAGGTTAACATGTAAAAGTTGACTAAGTTTGTTAGCCTGCCATTTGAAAATGCGCAATCCTACGATTGCTGTTTCAAGTGTATATAACACTTTGACATCTCTTCTATCCAACCCTAACCCCCACCCCTCCCTCTCATAAACACCCTAGGTGTACACGATGGGTCTCGCGAATGGACGATTTTCACAGTTATTTAGTCACGTGACCAAAAATATTTTTATGTACAAAAAATTTCCGGACATGGATCTATATATGTGTGAAGTGACAATATTGTCACTTCAGCTGTTCCCAAATGGTGATCAAAATCCGGCACACAATTAATTTGTAAGGGCCTTATATAAGGAGTGAGTCTATATAACAAGAAAATAAATAAGGTTACTTTTAAATGGCTGCCAATTTTTTTGTTACATGCAATCATATCAATTTAAGCACTTTTTAATACATTCATTATTCCTGTTTAATTTTCTGTAAAAAACGTTTCAAAACTATTTCAAAGAGTGATGATTTTACTCAAATGTTATGATAACGAGAAGATATGAAAATATGACCTATTTTTGTTTTAAGTTAAAAGGATAATAAATAGACCTGCAGTAACAATATATAAATCTTAAACGATGCATTGTGTATCAAACAATGACATAAATTGATCAAAAGTTTTATACAGTGCAACTTTTCCATAAAGAACGGCCAGATGCACGGCAAAAGTGTTCACTATAGAGAGTGTTCCTCCAAGGGAGGTTCTGTTATAGCTATAGAAAATCCAAAATATGTTTAAAATCCGTTCCTCTAAAGGAGGTATTCCCCAAGAGAAGTTCACCCAAGAGAGGTTGCACTGTATCTTGTAATTATACGCTTAAAGATCGCACCCGAACGGCTCGACACAGGGAAGTGGACAATTATGTGCCAAAAGTTTGGGTTGTGTGCGACCCGCGATTTTCACACATGGAATAGTTGGTCAACGTATGCTTATACTGGAAAATAATTTGTGACCATTTAAACCAGAAAGGAAGTATGTTCAGAGTATGTAATTTGATACATACCTAAAATATGCTTATTTTTATGCTATTTATAGACCACATTTTCCGTAAATTGCCACCAAAAAAAATATACAGATCTTTGAGATAAAAGTTTATCCCCGCCCACCATATTCTCCTGTTATTCTCCTATGGAAAATAATATGGGATAACATGTTAATCCTATGGCTATATTTTAATATGGGGAATCTCTTATAGGTTTACATAGACCGCTTTAACGTGGGGTTTTATGGGATTACAGTTTGTCTTTGGCATAGAAATAACATGCATAATGCGAAATCTATGGCACAGGGATAACATGGATAATGCAAGTTTATGGGAGTAATGTTATTTTAATGGGATAATGCTTTTTCTATGGAGATATACTAAATGAATCTGACATAATAAATAAAATAATTATTGTAAAAAACATTCAAAATTTTCAAAATAACAATAGTGAAAGTATTCCAACAATTGTATTGAAAAATTAAAAATATTTTGATGCATTTTCCTATTTTCTGTAAAGGAGTCAAAGTGTGGAACAATCTGTCGCTTGATATCAGATCCGAGTCGACAATTAGTAACTTCAAAACACGTCTCAAAGATATTTTTAATTGAAATGATTGACTATTTATACCATAATTTTAGAATTAATTTTAATATTTTATAGAAATATATACTTTTTATGGATTTATATGTAAAACAATTTTTATTGATATAGATTCCAATAAAGTTTGATTTGAGTTGATTGCATTATTTACGGCTAAACATAATTTTAAATGGTTTGGGAAACTGTAACCAAATATTAACCGCGTGGGGCTCAAGTTGATCAAGATTGTTTTTACGACCATGCTCTTTATAAAGTTCAATGCGATAATTGCTAGTTAACTGTAGTAATCTGACCAGGACCAAAAATATGTCATTGATAGCCAACGTTTCACCTGGGCATATACGACGACCGTAACTGAACGGTATATAAGCCGCGGGTTTTGTACGCATAAATTCACCACGATTATCCAGAAATCTATCTGGCTCAAATACGTCCGCATTTTCCCAGTGCTTTGGATCGGTCAGAATGGAGTTCTGATTCAATACGACCTTGGTGTTTTCAGGTATAGGGTGACCAGCTGAAAATAAAATGCGGTTTTAGTTCTATCTGGCTCAAATACATCCGCATTTTCCCAGTGCTTTGGATCGGTCAGAATGGAGTTCTGATTCAATACGACCTTGGTGTTTTCAGGTATAGGGTGACCAGCTGAAAATAAAATGCGGTTTTAGGATAGTGTTTAAAAAGGTATAAACATCAATATAACTTATATGAATAATTCAAACCCAATTTGGTGTTAACCATAGTCTTATGAAATAGTCCTATTGGTGTAGGATTTCTGTGCCGTAATATTTCCGATATAAAGGCCATCGTGTAGTTTAAGCAGCACTTGTCCTTCACTACCGGCACCCGATCGCCAATCTCTCGGCTAATTTCTGTGCGCAACTTATTTTGGTAATTCGGGTAATAGGCTAAATACAATATCATCCATTGATATGTTGTATGACTTGTTTCAGTGCCAGCTGTTTGTGTTGTTTGTTTAAATAATTACGGTAAAAAATAGTGATTAATGTTGAATTAAAATGCAATCTATCTAATCTTTATATGTAATTATCTATCATAATATAAAGATGTATTTTGATAAATAACATTATATGTATAAAAAATAATTAGACTTTTTATTATTTAAAATTAGGCAAAAATTGTAAACATAATAATTATAAATACCTGCAACCATATCAATCAATACGGCGGGCAGGTTATCATCGGTAAAATAGGGTGCCGTTCGCTTGTCATCGGCAATGGCCTCGTGTTTGGCGGCGATAAGTATATCGCAAAAGTCCCTCAAATTGTTACCATCATATGTTTGGTCGTGTTTTTGGTATATATTTCGCGTATAATCCATGAGATGCTCAAAATATCGCTTATATTTGATCAAAGGGTTGGCAATTAAATAGCGCAACACCGGTATAAACTCGTATAGAAATAATGTGTTACCAAGATCAGTTTGAAAGCCAGACGTGATATATTTGATCATTTTTAATTCAGCCTGTTCGCAGTCCAATCTATAATTAATACACCATTGTAATATTAATTGTTGCATCATCTACAGTTATAAATTGTATACTCTACAGTTTAATTATTATGTAACAAGGTTATTTACTTTTCGCTAAACACGATTGAGGCTAAAATATTTGCGAACACATTATACACGTAGTCGTGCGACGAAAACGGTCGACCCATACCCTCATTATCGGCTATAATTTGTTGAACCATTTGACGCACGTTTTCGTCAACCACTTCAGACAAGACCTTTGTTTTGGCGTACTTTCTGTTAATTTTATCATGCATTATTTTTGACAATTATTTTACAAATAGTAAATAATAAGTTAATTGTTTTTGAAAATGTTATTATAAGGCGTGAGTCTATATAACAGGAATATAAATAAGGTTATTTTTACATAACTGCCAATTTTTTTTTGGTTTATGCCATCATATCAATTTAAACACGATTTTATACATTCATTATTCCTTTTTAATTTTCTGTAAAAAAAGTTTCAAAATCATTTTAAAAAGTGATGATTTTACTCAAATGTATTAATACCAAGAAGATAAAAAAATATGACCTATTTTTGTTTTAAGTTAAAAGGATAATAAATAGACCTGCGGTAACAATATATAAATCCTAAACGATCCATTGTGTATCAAACAATGTCATGAATTGATCAAAAGTTTTAAATCTTTCGTCAACCACTTCAGACAAGACCTTTGTTTTGGCGTACTTTCTGTTAATTTTATCATGCATTATTTTTGACAATTATTTTACAAATAGTAAATAATAAGTTAATTGTTTTTGAAAATGTTATTATTATAGATTTCATGATTATATTTGGAGTTTTTGCTATATAGCGAATATAGCTTTACATTTTATACGCGTATATATGCGTTAATTGTCATTCATCAAGTCGTATGATAAGGTAATAATGGCAGTAATTAATATAAAAATAGTAATGTCATGCACAATTTTGTTTATAATTGAAAATGCTTACTGTATGGCTGTGTGCGATACTCGGCGTAGACTTTCCCAACACTTACTGTAATCGCAGTGAACAACATCTTTATATTTCTCATTACAATATATGCTACCTTTAATAAAAATAAAATACAATCAGTATTATCTTGTTTAATTATGTTTATAAAAATTAATATTTATTCATTTATATAAGTAATTTATTTATTTAATTATTTTGTAAAATTGCAATTTTTAGATTTTAAGTTACTATCAGTTTAATTATTGCCATTTAATTAATAAACAATTAATTACCAAATTGGGAAAGAGGGCGTCCGGTAAAATCAATCTTGTTAAACGATTCCCGTGCCATATCTAGGTTGCATATAAATACGAATGGAATGGGTCCGATCCATAGAGTAAACACTGGGCCATAGACCTTGCTCACTTTTATAATTTCCACCGCAAAGTGCTTTTTGGAATTACGAAACACTGAAAATTTTTGAATTAAATTTTTATAATTAAACGCTTTTAATTAATTTTTTTAAATAGAATTATTGAATAACTTACTGAGTACGTTTCCAATAAGTGGCAATGGAAATGGACCAGGTGGGTAGTTATAGCGATTGGTGTAGAAACGTGTTATATAATAAATGACTATGCCTATTATTATACCGCTCACACCAATGCCTTTAATGAATTCTAACATACTATAATTAAATCATAAGTAAATAAATTAAATTACAAAATATGGTGAAAATATTAAAATTAATAACTAATTACATTAGAGAGAGAGAGAGAGAGAGAGAGAGAGAGAGGGAGAGAGAGAAAGCTTACCTTGTTACATCCATCATCATCCAAATTGTGTTTAATAATCCATGATCTTAATTTATATATTTATAATTAACACACTTTGTTTAGGCAAACAGATCTTGATTTAGTTTCGAACCATTTAGATTCTGTATATTTTATGTGTTTTTAAACCAATATGGTATACCAGATGTGAAATTTATTAATTATTAAGCAAACACCACATGAATAGCAATGAATACAGTTAAAATTCTGTAAGCATAAAATGTAAACATTTTTTGTTAAAAACACTAGCGCAAAATTTAAATTAAATGAGTTGACACAATATAAATAATTGCATAACTTAATAATAAATAATATTAAAATGTCCTAATATCTACAGTAGATTGTATAATATGGCTATTACTGAAGACAAAGTTACATTGTTAAACTTATTATATGTTATATTAAATTAATATTATTGTGATTTTTATTATTGAAGCAAAATATGATTTAAGTGAATTTATCTAATTCTGTTTCAAGACAATTATGGCACACAATTTAAAATTATTTTTGTCATTATAATTTATAATTTACAATATACAAGTTTAATATAATAATAATAATAATTTTTATTTAGCAGTTAGCAATGAAATAAAAAATCATGTAGTATTCATATAAAAGTTATTCAAGTGATTTACAAAATTTTTATAAATATTTTGATTGCGAATATTGATTGACAATAAATTAATTAATTTTATACAATTATTAAAACAACTCACACACAGCGATGTTATACGTTAACCACTATTCGGAAAATGCATCAAAGTTTTAAATTTTTCAGTACTATTGTTAGAATACTTTCACTATTATTATTTTGAGAATTTGAAATGTTTTTGACAACAATTAGTTCTATTTATTTTGGCAGATTCATTTATAATCTTATTGTCCCATTGATATACCATTACACATGTTATCCATATGCCATTGACTTAGCATTACCAATGTTATCCCTAGGCCATTGACTTAGCATTACCCATAGGATAAGCATTGCTATAGACTTAGCATTACCAATGTTATCCCTATGTCATAGACTTCGCATTACTCATAGACTTATCATTGCCATAGACTTAGCATTACCCATGTTATTTATATGCCATAGACTTAGCATTACCCATAGACTTAT